TGGCACACTGACCTCTGAGGAAATGTTAGATGCACTCATCATCAGAAAGGTTGCCCCTGCTCTAAAAGCATGCATTACAAATGTTACAGCACATATATATCATAGTTAAAATCTGTAATATGTTTTGTGACGACCCCAATGAAAGCCAGAAGCTCCACATGTGGCTTTAACCTCTTCCATAATAGTACAGTGATGGATAAGGTCAATAAGTAGTATTTTCAACTATGTGTCATGAAATAATCTGAGATTAAAGTCCCCGAGCAGTAGAGACAGACCTGACCTGATTTCTTGAAGAAATCAAACCTGATGACACTGAGGAAAAAAGGTTCTTACACTGTCAAAGTCTGAGATGATCTCGTTGAGGAAGCGTAAGCATTCGATGCCTCCATTATTGATGCTCTCCTCTGTGTAGAAGTCAGAGAAGTTGGGGATCGAAGCAAACATGACTCCGATCTCGTCATATGACTGGCTGTACAGCTCCTGGAACAGAAAGGATCATCAGTGTGGACAGACTTCTGACAGTCGCAGTGAGTTAAGGATGTGATGTGCTATCAGCGAGCCTCTTACCTCGTCCCTCTTCTTGGATCCTAGGAAGTGTCGAGCCACATGTTCAGGCAGCATGTTGGTCACCAGTGCTTCGTTCCAGCGCCGCATCTCGTACACCTTCTCCTTTTGCTCATGAACCTCAATCTTCCAGAGGAAAAGGGTACGGGCGAGCTTCTCCACCTTCAGGTGCCAACAGGTTCTCATGTTAGCCAACTGCGAGCAATGAAGTGCTAAAATGTTGCACATTAGCAAACTGCAGGGAAAACTGACGTGAAGTCATAACGCTGTAATATAAAACTATTGTGCCTAAAGATATATTACTGACATGCATTCAAATAAAAGAAGCAGCCAGCACTTTGTGGTCCTGTGTCACATTCACAACCAGACTACGAAACAGGAGAAGACATCCTGTCTAAATCTTGTAGCAAAGACGATGGGAGCTAACTGACTATCGACCAGTCGCCGACGCATCAACATGTGATGACGAGACTAGCCTTGTGCCACCTAAGAGCTTAGATCTAATTCGTAGATTTTTCTAGTGCATTTAACATGATCCAGCCATCAGTGTGAGAGATGTCATGCCACCCCATGTGACCTAGGCCATATGTTCTTTCTGTGCCCAAGACTCCA